ACATTAAACAACTAGAAAAATTACAAAATAATAAAATAATTTTGCAGGCTAGATTGTTTGTTGACATTATGTCTGTAGTAACACGTTACAAGTAAACGTTTTGTAAAAATACTCCTGCCAGTGTTATGTATTACAATATTACTGGGACATTATTATTGATGCATTAACAGTTAAGCAGCACTTTAATATTGTAGCTGGTTCATTTTTGGGTTGCTTAACATAAATATGCATAATATTTTATGAACTGACAATAAGAGGAAAAGATGAGGGTGTGGATAATGAGATTTGATTAATGTTTAACTTAGGGAGAGGTACTGTAAATGTCAAACCAGGCAGGCAAGAATAACTGAACAGTGTCAGAAAGCAACTTGTGAATGAGTGTATGCACAGTAATCCCCTACCCCCAACTATAAATGATTTAACCTCTGAAATATATCTAATAATAATATATAACTATAACCATTAAATAGAAAGTACAATAGCCTAATTTACCTCTAAAATGTAGAAGTAGCAGAGAGTAGAAAGGTTCCTCAGAATTGTACTTAAATACAGAACCACTATGAATATTCACATTATATTCTTGTGGATCCTCACTGCTGTGATTGTGCTATGTTTGCAAAGTAGACTTTTAAAGTGTTACAGCTTACTATACTTTGCTTACTTTTTCTTATCAGGTTGAATGCAATCTCCACTAGTAGTTAGTGAACATTAGAGCATGACTTGCTAACTTTAAATATGCTTTGTTGGAAGGGAGACCAGATTTGATAGTGTCATGAGATCACTAATTACCCTCAGCATTTGGTTACAGGTCTTGCACGCTCTCTATTTATTTCTTTCTGTATATCTTATTCTTTTTCTTACTTTACCCTCTTTGTCTTGCTTCTCTTGCACATACACACGCACATGCACACACACTCCTCCCCCACTCTTCCCTCTTCCACTTTGCTGAACAGTCTACAAAGATACAGCAGTAGGAGGTAGGAGGACTGGTGCTAAATCCAGACACGTGATATATCCAGCCCCCTCGGCGCTCATGCTTATTTCTCCCTTAATATCCCTTCATTTCCCCTTCTCTGCTCTGTGCAAACTCCCCCTACACATCTCAGTCAGCTGGCTTTAACTCATTCCTCACCAAGAAGAACGCTTGGCTGCTGGTCTACCTGCTTTAGCTTGATGGATACACTCCATTAATTCAGTTATCCCCACAAAAAACACACACATATACACTCACATACAGACACACACACACACACACACACTGGCCCTTCAGATACTTTTAACCCTTGTCCTTACTGGTTCCCTGAGGGCTTTGTAAATCAATAAAAAGGCTTATGGATGCACCTTTTCAGCTGGGTGTACTCAGCATTATGGGCAGTTATCCTGAACCACCCCTCACCCAATCTCAGACACACACAGACACTTTTAAGTAACACACACAAACATACTGCCCCACATTTCAACCCCCAGTGGTTACAGGAAAGGAGAAATATGGCTACAGAGAAGGGGAGATGATTGCTTGCTCAATTGAACATAATTGATTTTATTTCAATTTCTTTTTCTTTGAACATGTAAGTGTACATTACAAAAGAACTTGCACTCGTATGCAAGAAAGAATATTTCCTCAACTCTTTTCTTGAAAAGTACAGCAGCCCTGCCCCCTCTGCTCTCCTTCTGTCTGTATCCACTCTGCAGTAGGCCATATCCTCCCTGTCCTCCCCCATATCCCAAAACAATACGCTGGGGGCCCCTGCTCCCACAGACCTGGAGGAACATGTGTTTTATTTTTAGAGCTCTCCCTCGGCCCACGCTAGTAAAGTGAAAAAAGAGAAAAGCCCTCCTTCCATAAATGGGGTCTGAAAGAGTAGAAGTCAGAACAGAAAAGTACATCAGCTCAACTCTGAAATATCAGTAGAAGCTTTGCCTTTTTTGTCTGTGATTATCTTTTATTACAACTAGAGAAACTACAATGATATCCCCCCCCCCCCCCC